GGTGATGGCTTCACAGCCATCCCGGAGCCCCCGCGAGAGCCAGAGATCTCAGAAATTCTAGGCTCCTTATCGTCCGGTAGGTTTATTACCGGGACGGATGGTGCTTCGGACACTTCGATCGTGGGCGCTGGAGGCAGCGGTTGTGGTGTTGCATCCCAGCCCTTGTCGCGCTTGGGAGGGCTTTGTGCCTCGGTAGGTTTCCATCTGGGATCAAAACTCACTATAGGCCGACCAGCTCGGTCGCTCACCGCAGTGGGCATGGGAAGCCTGGTGCTGCGATCCCTGAGCTTCTTGCTCGTTGCAGCTCGAAGCTCGTCACTGCGGATCTCAAGGCCATCTTTCGTTGGAATCTGCTGCTGAGGTGCCTCAGGTTCAGGCGGCGCTTCTTGGGACCGAGGCTCGTTCGTCGTATACTCAGGATTTCTCGTTTGACTCGGAGGATTTTTATGGATCTCGAAGCGAGAAAGCTTATCAACGAATGAGAGACTACCAAAGCGGCCAGGCAGAGGTCGGGACCCGCGAGGAAGGGCATTCCGGGGCTTGCTCCTCAAAGCAGATGAATCAGATCTAGAGAAGATTGAACGACTACCCTCATCCTTCCGAGGAGAAAGATGGGGCTCTTCGTAGATTTGGTCGTCCGGGTTTCTGAAGATGCCTCTGGATGTTTCATTCTTGACACTGGCCGAGCCTAATCCATGATTATCGCCCGGGGTCACCGTTGATTCACCCTCGTGAGGGAGTGCGAAATTGACCTTCATGTTTCTTCGCAGGCTCCCTTCCTTGGTCGGACTTTTCGTCGGGCTTGACCCTTCTTCCAAGATGGTGTGTGAAGCTCCATCGACTGAGGACTTTCTTTCACTTCCCCGAAAGCCGTTCGTCCCACTATGGCTAACAGTCGATCCCTGGAACATAAGCCGACGACTGTCCCTGCGTGCTGTGGGGGAGCTAGGACCACCATTTTGAGACGCGAAGCTACTTCTTGGAGGGCTTTGTTGGAGATCTTGCAGATCGGGATTCTGGTAAGGTGCATAGGGATTCTTATACGGTATACCTGGATTTTGATGCATCCATACCAATTCCGTGGCCTCATCTTGGGCAGCAGCGTGGAGATCATGTTCGTCATGAAGGTCCATTTCCTGCAATGCATCACGCAAGGATCTTGCCTCTTCTTTCTCTATGCGTCGCTGGGGATTTTCACGATATGTAGGCCGTGGGGGAATCTGTTCCACTCGCGAAAAAACCCGCGCGGGTGATACAGTTTGCCTAATTGGGATAGTTCTCGGTTCCTGGACCAAAGGACGTCCGGTGGGACCTCCCAAAGCGGAGGCTGGTCTATGGTTAGAGAGCGAACTGGTGGCCCGAGGGAATCTGGCCTCTGGGGAGGGAGGGCTAGACTGCATCCTCGGTGAACCATAAGACGACATCGCCGATGCCGCTCGCGGAGGTAAATCATCATGAGGATGAGTAGGCGCCGCAGCAGGTCTTACGGGAAGCGGCCTGGATCCGCCAGGACGTGTAGGACGATTAGTCCGCAGATCTTTCAAATAGGTTGCTGTAGGTCGAAGATCAGCATGGAGACCTCGATCCGAAGCGGTGACAGCCCGAATGAGACACGAGACAGATAAAGGCTGGATGGGGAAGAGAATGCTTTGGCGCGGCACTGTAAACATACCGATCTGGTCGTCGGACATATAAGTCGGGCCAGGAGGGGAGAACTTGCGTTGGCCCTCCTTGGGCTTCTGAGTTTGAGGCCTATGCATCATACTGGCCATGGAGATGTATGATGAAGAGTCATGAACCACAGGAAAATATTTGAACGAGAGAAGGGGAGGGGTTCGAGTGATGAGTTGGCCGCTGCTCAAGGCAGGGAGAGGGAGGGCTATGAAGTCAGTGACTATTATAGCTGAACAGGGCCAATGAGAGGTGGAAAGGTGGCTGGGGCGAGTGGATCAGAGACAAGCTGGAATGAACTAGACAGATCGGATCAGTCTAAGTCGATTTGTTGCTTGTTTCATCTGCGGTGTCAGAGGAACGAGGATTGCTGCAATGGAGTCTAGTGTGTGTGCATTGCCGATCGGGAACTAGATCAGTACTCCCTCGTGAGTAGAAATCATTGAATCTCGGTTTAGTAGTAGGGGGGGGGGGGAGGTCAATGAGGGGGAGAAGCTGAAAATACAGTGTCGGAGATTAGACTGGCACGATAACAAGTTCGATCGGGACTTTTCCTCAGGCACCACATCTTCAGCTCAGCCGCAGCAGAGCTGAGCTCTGGCCATCAATGATGATGATGATTGATGATGATTGCTGATTCCATCACCCATGACAACCAGGTACACTACTTAGGCACTTAGGCACCAAGGCACACATCGGGCACAGGACAAACAGGACAAACAGGCCAAACTAGCCAAATATCTGCCATTTTCCTGAGGCCACCGCGGGGTAGAGATAGCTAAGCCTGGTCAGGTTAGCCCCGTTTCCTTCAGCTGTGTCCCGTGATCGGATGCTGAGACGATTCCCATTCAAGTAAGACCCTTGAGTTGCCAGAGCCAAGTACTAGGTAGGTAAATTGCCCAGCATGATACGGAGTACGGAGACAACCTGAAAAGATACAAACCTTCCGCAATCTTCCGTGTGAAAGATCCTTAGCAGCAGCCATGCTTCATGACAGCGTGCAGCCGCACGTGGCTCTCGGGCCATTCTTTCCTGTCTCCAGAACATGTCTGCATCATTGACAACCTGGAATTGCGCAACTCTAGAAGTGAACCCCGGATTCACATCGTCGAGGTGGAGCCTGGAAATGATCTGGAGCTGCTGTCATCACTCATCAGTCATCACCCCTAAACTCTTTCTGACTGGCGCAACCAACCGACGCTACTCGTCTCCTCCCCGGACTCCGCACCGGGTCAATCGGCATATCAGGTCCCCTTTCATACTCCCGCCTAGAGCCCAGCTGCTCCTCTTCATGTGTGGGATTTACTTTTGGCCCAATGATGGGCTCTCTTCGAGTCGGACAACTCGCCGACTGATGCCCGTTAACCGTTCTTGACTGGCTAGATTCGGGCCCAAATCTCGTTAGTAGAAGGATGGATCAATGACACATCGTTCGCTTTAGCCTCTATCTCTGCTTGACTCCTCCCCTTCGTCCTTCGAAATGTACTTGTTCTCCTCTTCCTGGCCGTCTGGTCCACTTCTTCATGGCCCATGGCTGGGACTGACACGCATCTGGGATAAATCCGCACTGCGCTCTATGTCGTGAACCTGATAGAAATCGACCAACGAGGTCCAACCTAAGACTCGTTTTCTCGGAACTCTATCCTTGCAGGCTGGCTGTGATTAATCATGGCAGGTAATGCTCCAGTCGACACCATTCGTTCACAACGACATGATAGCGACCCGAATCTAGGACCATCGTCTGATCTGGATAATCCACAACTGTCTGCCCCGCTGGACGCAGAATCCAAGTATGAGCAAGACGTTCCTCCGGATGGAGGATATGGCTGGGTGTGTGTTGCCTGTGTGTTCTGGATCAATGCCCACACCTGGGGCATCAACAGCGTCAGTAGTCGTCATGCACATGGGAAAATCCGACGGCTGACCAACCAATATAGAGTTACGGCGTGTTTCTCTCCTACTACCTCTCCCATGATGTGTTCCCTAATACCTCCGCTCTCTCCTATGCCTTTACTGGTGGCTTGAGTATATCCTGTGCGCTTCTCGTGGCCCCCGTGGCCACGTACCTTATCCATGTCTTCGGCACGCGCTTAACCCTCAACCTGGGTGTGTTCTTTGAGACGATCTCGCTCATCGGGTCCTCATTTGCAACCCAACGATGGCACATTTTCCTCAGTCAAGGTGTCTGTTTTGGCTGGGGCATGGGCTTTCTCTTCGTCGGCACCGTCGGTATCATCCCGCAATGGTTCTCACGGCGCCGTAGCCTGGCCATGGGGATCAACGCCGCCGGGTCTGGCCTCGGTGGTCTCATGTACTCGCTCGCCGTCGGCACCATGATCCCTCGCCTAGGCCTGCCCTGGGCCTTTCGGATCCTCGGCATCATTGCCTGCGTTGTCAACCTGGTGTGCGCCAACCTCCTGCGCGATCGCAACAAGGCCGTGGGCAGCCGGCACCAGGCTTTTGCGCTGCCGCTCCTCAAGCGGCCGGAATTCCTGCTGTTTCTGGGCTGGGGTGTCTTCAGCATGCTTGGCTACGTTGCTCTGCTCTTCAGCGTCGCCAACTTCGCCCTCTCCGTGGGCCTGACCTCCCACCAGGGTAGTGTGGTAAGCGCCCTCCTCAACCTCGGCCAAGGACTGGGCCGCCCCTTCGTTGGCATGTTCAGCGATCGCCTCGGTCGCATCAACATCGCCTCCTTCCTCACATTCCTGTGCGGTCTTTTCTGTCTCGTCATCTGGACGTTTGCGCGCAGTATGGGCGTAGTCTGCTTCTTTGCCGTGCTGGTCGGCACCGTCTCTGGCACCTACTGGGCGACGGTCGCCCCCGTCGCGAGCGAGATCATCGGGCTCCGGGATCTGCCCAGCGGATTGAGCATCACTTGGCTGGTGCTGGTGCCCCCTTGCACCGTGTCGGAGGCGATTGCCCTGCTGTTGCGTAACAATCACGCTGGCGACGCGGCGTATCTGCGCGTGCAGATCTTCACCGGCTTCATGTACATAGGCGCGGCTTTGTGTCTTTGGCTAGTCCGGGGGTGGAAGATTAGGGAAATAGCGCAAGCAGCGGCCGAAAAATCGCCGAATGATTCGTCTCCTCAGACCGGGGTCAAGGATCCCCCCGGGGGTTCCAAGATCGAAACCGGTGCGACGGAGACGAACCACCAGGTAACAACCCGAGGAGTGTCAAAGTCGCACCTTTGGTCTCCGGTCGGCTTGTTGCGTGGGATGGTGTCGTTGCAGAGAGTATAGTGTGGAGAATCAGTACTGAGAAGGGGGAAGAGTCAAAGGTCGAAGATGTACAAGATCGTAAGATCTCGGATATCGTTACACCCGCATAGAAATTTTAGATTGAACACAACTAAATCTAGTACAGTCATCCTACGTGCGAGACACCGGTAGACGCCCAAATCCTCTTGTATTATGCCAGTCATAAATCGATAGATAATTTCATTTTTTCCCCCTTTGTATTGTCTGTTAGTATGTTCAAGCGCCTTGGCCCAAGATCAAGATGCGGACTCTCCGCTTCCCAGCGCCACGACCGCCTTCCTCCTTGACGGAGCTGACGTTGACATTGACCTTCTGGAACAGCTCGACGGAGACGCCGTGCGCCTGGTCGGCGTCGCCCTTGTCCGAGACGCGGAGGGTGTACTCCTCGCTGTCGAAGTCGCTCTGGCGGCGGACGACGAGCTCGCGGCGCTCGGCGACGGTGCGCAGGGCGGCGTCCTTGGGGAGGACGAAGTCCTCGAGGCGGACGACGCCCTCGATGCCGAAGCGCGGCACGAAGACGACGACGCCGTTCTCGAAAACGCGCATGACGTAGCCCTCCTCCTCGATGCCGCCGTCCACCCCGTCGGCGGCCATCTTCTCGCCGCGGGCCTTGAGCGCCTGGCCGACGTAGTACTCGATGCTGGCGCGGCCGGCGAACTGGGCGTTGCGGTGGCGGTAGTTGATGTTGCGGCAGATGTCCTCGAGGCGGTTGCGGGTCATGACGCCCTCGACGACGGCGCGGCCGTCCTCGCCCTCGTAGCCGATGGCCGAGGCCAGCTGGCGGTGGACCAGCAGGTCGGCGTACCGGCGGATCGGCGAGGTGAAGTGCGTGTAGATCGGGGAGGCCAGGCCGTAGTGCCGGAACTCGGATTCGGCGTGCGCGCCCGCGACGAAGTACTCGGCCGAGGTCATGCAGCGCGTGGCCAGGATGCGGACTAGGGTGTTGAAGAAGGGGTTCTGCGCGTCGACGCAGCGGTCGAGCGAGTCGGCCAGCGCCCGCGAGCTGGACACGTCGAGCCGCAGGTCGCGCTTCTTGGTGAGCTGGTTGATGAGCTCCTCGAAGTTCTGCGGGGGCGGCGTGGCGTGCCGGCGGAGCATGGCCGTCTGGGAGAAGGTGCTGTAGATCTTGGTGGCGACGGTGATGTTGGCGTGGAGCATGAACTCCTCGACCAGGCTGTTCGTCTCGAGCATCGCCTTGGTCTTAACGTCGGCCAGCGGGTCGCCGACCTCGTCATTGTCCGCCTCGATCCGGACTTCGGGCGAGGCGAGATTCAGCGCACCGGCGTCCATGCGCTTCTGGCGGAGGATCTTAGAGAAGCGCAGCAGGGTGCGCATGCTCTCGGTGAGTTCGTCGGTCTGCCTCGGGTCGTCGATCCGCTTTTGGGCCTTCTCGTAGCTGAAGGCCTCGCGGGACCGGATCACCGACTTGGTGAAATCGGCGGACACAACCTCCGCGTTGGGGGTCATTTCCCATAGGACGGAGAAGGCGTACCGCTCCACGTAGGGTTTCAGGGAGCACAGATCGGTACCGAGCAAGTGCGGCAACATGTCAATACGTTTGTCGACAAGGTACACCGTGGTTCCACGCTGCGAGGCCTCGAGGTCCATCGCGTTGTTGGGCTTGACAAAATGTGAGACATCGGCGATGTGAACACCGACTTCGAAGTTGCCATTCGGCAATGGTCGTGCGTGCAGAGCGTCATCGATATCCTGACAGCCAGGGGGGTCGATACTGCAGATAAGAAGGTCTCGAAGATCCCTCCGCCCCTTCCAGCCAATGTCGTCTTTGCTCGCGGGCACTCTCCAGTCATGACCCTCCGCAGGGAGGCAGTCGAGGACGGCCTTGGGGAAGGGCTTGTACTGAACGTCATATTCAAGCAACAAGGCCTCCGTCTCGGCTCCCTTGGTTTCCAGTTCTCCCAATGACCGGATGAAGTGTCCAGTGGGGTATCGTGAATCGCGGTCCCAAGCGTCAATAGTGACCAGGATGCGTTGCCCCATGAGATCGGCAGCTTGTCTAGTGCGCAGTCTGATCTTTGGCACACGCTTATCCATGGGCAGAACGAAGACATTTTGCTGTCGTCGACTCGAGCTGGTCTGGGAACCTGCTGATCCTGAATCGACATGACCGACATATTGCCGCCAGTTCCGCTTCATCACTCCAACAACCTTGGCCGTTGGCTGTGGTCTACCCTCTGAGTTCTTTCCATGGGCTTTCTTGACTTCCTCCTGCAACGCTTTGCGCTCTCTTTCAGTAACAACCGCCTCGTTGTCCTCGGCATCTGGGTTGTCATTCTTGGTCACAGCTTCCTCGTCCACAAGCTTGGTCGATGGTGTCTTCCACTGATCCTTAGGCAGCACTTCAATCACAACGACATCTCCAGAGATAGCTCGGTTGCTGTTGTCGCGGCCAAGGATCAGTAGAGGCTTGTCAAAGGCTGGAACGTTAACTGAGCCCTCCAAGTAGTTGTACGGCGAAACGTTGAAAACACCCTGGTGCAATGTTCCTGCCCTCAGGCCCGTCTGGAGTTTCGACATGGTGTAGTATTCAGGGTAGAAGAGCTCGCCGCGTGCGCCCTTGGCTTCTCTCGCCTCCCTCGACTCGTTGATCATGTCCAGTAACCTGTCGGAATCCTCCAGACCCGAGACGTAATCCGTCAGTGATAGCGCGGTAATGTTCTCTTCCTTCGACTTCCGCAAGTTCTCCTTGTCGTCGGTAATGACCACGATCGCCGGGATCGAACGCTCCTTCTTGGCCTTCTTGGCCGTCGACAGCAAATGTCCCATGTACCACTTGGCCACGGCTCGAACGGCTCGGTCATTCCGGTCGTTGATCGACTCGTCGGGGCCACGTCGAACATGGGTCTCCAGGCGGAACTCGTTGAAGAATAGATAAAAGCGCTTCTCGTCGGTTTTGATCAGCGCAAGCAAACGGTTGTAGAGGGGGAGAGACTGGTTCCGCAGCTCCTCGAGGACGGTCTGTAAAATGATGACATCGTAAAAGGCTCCGGTGTGTTCGAAAAGGTCCATTCCATTCAGCAGCGCATTCGTATCAGGAACAAGGTAATGGCCACGAGGGAAAGCTTTGGTGCCCGCGGGTTGTTCGGAGAGGATGAACGGCGTAACTGAGATTAATTCGTCGCATTAGCCAGTTTCCACCGTCAATCAAGGGCCGCAGGTCTCTTGCTCACTGTTTCCATTCGCATCCGCAGGCGCAACTGACGGACACACCGTGCAAAGCTTCGACGAGCATGGAATATCCTGTCTCAGATAGAGCTCGCGAACGATCTTTTGCACCTTCCCACTTTTCGTGGACCGGACGAAGATTTTGCTGGTGACATTTTGAGCCTGCGGGTTCGAGGAGAGATCTCTTCGTAAGCTCTTCATTCTGTCTGGTCGCAACTGCGCTTGTGATCAGCGCTGTGTATCGAAGCGACAAAAATGTTAGATGGTTGGTTGGTTGGTTGTGGCTGTCGGCGGAGGTTCGCCCAGTTCTGCGGATTTGAAGCGGGATGGCAATGTCGGCGCCCGGATCGGGAAAGTCTGCCGACGTAATTGCGGGCAGCATCTACTAAGCGATGCCGTGATAAGAAGACATATTCCATCACTCTCCCACTTGACGCATATTGTTGTTTGTACTTGTCTACGAAGTTTCGGATTCTGATAGTCGGCTGAATATGGTTCTTGCAGTAGGCTCTTATTTTGGCTCTTCATGTATTCTATCGCATCACTTCACTGATACATGTGCCTTGATGCTATAGGCTGTTGGTCAACTATGCTCGACTGCGAGTCTGGCAGCTAATCTGGCACAATGCCAAACGCTGGTTCGCAAAGCAGCTGCAGCTGGTGCAAAAGTAAGACCAACAGAGTTACATCCTGATACTGCGTGTTAATATAAGCTATGCCAGGCATTGTTTCTCCCCGAAGCCTCAGATTACATTGGTTCCTCGCCTGCCGAGACGATATCTCTTGCGCGCTCCATGCAAGATAGTGAATTCGTCCTAGGTCTACAGAAAGAGGCTCAATTAGCCAAGCTTCATATCAATGTCGGAATTCATGAACCGGCATCCAATGATAGGACGAAGAACACTCTCATCTGGATCGATGATAAGGGTTCCATAATACAGCGCTACCAGAAGGTTCACCTGTTCGACGTCGATATCAAAGGTGGCCCAGTGCTGAAAGAGAGCGCGTGGGTGAATCCTATAGTTGCTGCTAGCTGAACCCATCTCACTGACATTCAACGTACAGGAGTGTTGAAAAGGGCATGGAGATCTTGCCGCCATTCGAGACGCCCATTGGGCGCGTGGGCTTATCTATCTGCTTTGACGTAAGTCATATGCCGTTACCTTCGACTCAAGTTCATCTCGACTGACAAACTTCACAGTTGCGCTTCCCCGAGCTCAGTCTGGCTCTCAGGCGACAGGATGCCCAGATCATCGCCTACCCATCCGCCTTTACGGTCCCCACTGGTAGAGCGCACTGGGAAACACTTCTGCGGGCTAGAGCTATCGAAACTCAGTCATATGTTGTAGCAGCTGCACAGGCAGGACCACACAACGAGAAGCGCGTCAGCTATGGCCACTCGTTAATTGTGAATCCGTGGGGTGAAGTGGTAGCGAGTCTCGGAGATGAGTATGAGGAACCGCAAATCGCTGTTGCTGACATTGACTTGGAGCTTCTTGCGAAGGTTCGAAGGGAAATGCCCTTACTCAGACGTACGGATATATATCCGCAGGTATAGCCCTCGAAAGCAACCTTGTACAGAAGGGATGGCCTCACATCTATTTGTCTACCAATCGTTGAAAGCATGGTCCACGGCTGAGAGATTTCCTTACCACTCGTAGAAGGTATTATAATGACTGCATAACTTGATTGTGATCAAAAAGTCTTGATTTATTTTCTCTTCCGCTCCTAAGTTCATAAAGCGAGCCAATGAAAGGATATAAACAACGACAAGACACACGCAGGTAACAGGAAAGAAAGGAAAGAAAAGCGAACAGTGAAATGGAAAACCCTGTCTAGGATCGGACCGGAATGTGCCTGATAACACGTGTAACCATTCAATCAACAACCGTCTTCCACGCCCGGCCAATCTATGTACAAAGTACAAGGGAGAAGTTGGACTAGTGCGCTTTACTTGCGCTGGGCCTTGTCGGGGTCCTCCAAGATGCCCTCGGCCTCCAGCCGCCGGCGAGCCTCCTCGAGAGCCCATGTTTGTATCCTAAAAGTAACGGTCAGCAAGGAAAGAGCAAAGTGACCGTGTCAGCATAGCTCCGTGTGACAGGGAAGCTAGCCGCGGAGCCTGGGGAAATGGGCGAGGGTTGGACGCACGAGGTGTCGGGCTTGAAAACATATGCGACGCCGGTGACTAGCAGACTGCCGATGAATCCGTAATACCAGATATTCTCCCAGCCTTCCTTCTGATATTTCTGGCCAGGCTTCAGGCCAAAGAGGTATCCAGTCGGGGGATCATAGTGGTCACCGTGGTCGGCGGCACGGAGGTTGCTGCGGGTCGAGAAACCCTGGACATTCTGAGCCCGGAGGGCAGAGCACCGGGCGCGAAGGCAAGACGACAGTGGGCGAGCAGACATTGTGAATGTGGCGTATAACTGTTGAGGTGTAGGAAACCTCAAGCTGGACAAGATGGGACAGGCGGTGGCGGGTGAGGATCCCTGTCTGAGGCAATGAAGCAGGGGCTGCTGGCACGGAACACCGAGTTCAACAATCCGGTCGACCAGCGATGGTAATAGTCGGGTCAATTGAGCGACTTCGAGATCGAATTCTTTCGTCGGAGCGGTAGGAGGAGCTAGGTGGAGGGGTGACGAGTCGGTCGAGCGGTTGATGTTCAGAAGCCGCAAAAGGCCGATGACTTGCTGGGGTCATAGCCACTAGTCCCAACTGGGCAAATTTCCTGGACCGCCTTTCTGCCTGGGATTACAGGCAAACAATCCATAGCCCACAGATACACCTGAGGCAGGAACACTCGACGCGCCGACGCGTTGAGGACTAATGAGATCGATCGGCTTATCGCATCGTGCGTGCATTTGAGCTGCCATTCATTGCACATGCATTTACCAAGTTATGTTGAGCCTGTTTCAACTGCTCCAGTTCTTGCCCTCTTCTACCACTTTACTCAGCAAGAATCTATCAATTGCCCATTGAATATAGGTACAATCAACGACTTTGTTTCCGCGCCATCCATCGTCATCCAGCGCTCCGCTCCGTTGCTAAAGATATTGTACAGACTTCTGTGATCGCGATGTCGGCTTAATCACCCGACTCCACGATCACAACCAGCAATAAACACCATGAACAGACCCCCAGGAGCGTACAAAATCTCTTCGCAGTCTCGCTCGAAATTGAACGCTTTTCGATACAGCAAAGACGCACAAAACCCAGAGAAGACCCCTCAGAAGACAGCAACCACAGACCATGCCAACAAGGAGAATCAAACATCGTGGCTGAATGGTGTGGTGGAAAAACAGCAACCAGAATCGGAAATCAACCCACCTACGATCGAAGTAACTGAATCGAAGCCTATCAAAGAATGTCCCCAAACACCAGGAAATCGAATACCACTCGCAGATCTAATCAGCAATGCCGAGGATGCTTTCAATAGTGCTCCGGGGCAAGAGTTTACGCCCGAAGACTACGTCACCTGGCAACATGTCCCTGCGAGCTCCAATGCCGATCCAATGTCGCAAACACCTGCATTGCACGGCAAGAAGCGTCGCCGCAACTCGTCGCCAACGAGCTCCCCTTTGGCAGCAACCTCGAAAAGCAAGCGGAGAGAATCGATTGACTTGCCAAACGACCAATCCTTGATCAGAACGCCCCAGCATGACCTTGCCACCGAACTATGGAACAACTATGTGGGCAAGTCCCTTGCCAATGGTACTGGCGAACTTGCTCAACCACGATTTGCGCATTTGCTTTCATCTTCCCCACAGACACCTGTTTCAGCCCGAACAGGCCGAGGCTCTTCCGGGCTGAGACGGTCGAATAGCTGCAATGCCGAGTGGCCTACTTCCAAGGCGAAGCGGAGAAGAGTCGATAACGAAAGGTTCGGTACCGGTCGCAGCATCTTCTCTAGGACAAGGAGCAATGTCGATTCGGGCAACAATCAAGCCTCCAACCTCAGCACTCTCGTCAAGCAGATGGAGAAGACTCTGCAAAAAGTTCCTGAAAGATCATTTGCGCCAGACTCTTCTCCAGTCCCAAAGCGCGGTAACACATCCAAAAGTCATCTGGCGTCCCCAACAGAAGGCAGAAGTCCTAGCTGCTCTCCTAAGAAGACCGAGGACGCGATTGTTCCCGTTGGGGCTGGGACCGCGCCGCAGACTACAGAATTTGTCGACGACTTGTCTTCGGACTATGGAGATGATGACTTCGATGATGACTTTCTTGAACTTGCAGAAGCTTCAATGGATCCTTTCGTGGATCCCAACCCGTCGCGCGATGTTGCAGAGGATGTTCAGCCTGCCACGTCGACATCAATGCCGCCGAATGGAGGGGCTCCCCTCCTCCAGAAGAGGGTGACTTTTGCTGCTACCAGCACAGCCACTTCAAAAGTGGATGCGGCCATGACAAATGACAACGAGTTCGAACTTAACGGTGATGAATTCGATGATGACTTTGATGATTTTTCCGACAATATAGAAGATCTTCTTGCCGAGTGTGATAAGGCGCCAAGCGTGAAACTTGCAAGGCCCATACCCAAAGGGCCAAATGTGCCGGAACAGCCACTGTCCGGCACTGGACCTCAGCGCTATTTTGCGTTGGCAGTTGGAACACTTAATGAGACGAAAAAGGACCCTGACATCTCCTCTGGTGATGAGTTTGACGATGGTAGCTTAGACATGGATGCTATCGAACATTCTATGAGGCAATCAGGAGTAGATGGAACGGATCATGTTTGTCTCTCCTAGTGAATCAATGCTCGTTATCAATATGCTAAGTATGCCTTCTCTAGAACCTTAGAAGTCGACAAGCTATCAAGCGCTATTTAATTGTTGAAATTGCGGAGTCAGCGTATACCAACCCCAGAGGACGTGTCCAACCCGAACAGGTCAGCCCACTGCACGCCCTCAATGCCCCCACCCATTATTGACACTATAAACAGGTGCTCCTCGTACAAGCTGAGCGGGCCAAGGAAGACAAGAAAGTGGTTATTCTCCGGGAGTCATGGTTCGATAGCCCGTGTACGAAGGAATCCTATATTCACCTGATCGGAGAATTTGACGCCAGGGGTCAATGCGTAGTTGACGATACTGCTAACATGGTGATACTTCATCCGGATCATCTAGTATCGGCGACTATCGTGGCCGACTCGATCACTTGCCAGCGTCGTGCTGCTCTTCAGGAACGCATTAAAAACACAACCGATGTAAGCAAAGCACAGGTCTTTGGCAACATATTCCACGAGCTGTTCCAAGAAGCTATCAAGGTTAACCGATGGGATACGGCTTCGTTAAGGCTACTGGTGGAGGATGTGATCGTCAAGCGGATTGAGGATCTATACCTGATTCGCATGACTGTCGCGGAAGCCATTGAGTATGTTATGAGCAGAGTTCCAGGCGTGCAGGATTGGGCAGAACGCTTTCTCCAGCCGAAGCCAAGCGTGAGTGCAGCCTTCCCTCGACCGAGGCGCAATACTGACAGTTGAACATAGGGGAAATCGAGCGTCGAGGATCGACATAACTCCAAGCTTAGCTTGAGTATAAATAAGCTTCTCGAAGTTGAAGAGCATATTTGGTCTCCGATGTACGGACTCAAAGGCAATATTGATGCCACGGTTCAGGTTGCCTGCTCAGAGCAAGGGCAGGATAAGACATTGCTTGTACCTCTCGAATTGAAGACGGGAAATAGAGACACAAACCAAGCTCATCGGGCTCAAACCGCACTTTACACACTGCTTCTCTCGGATCGCTATGGTAGGCTGGAACACCTATAGATTTTCATGTATCCTGATCTTGAATCTGGCCGCTCACTATCCTTTTGCTAGACATCGATTGCACATTCGGCTTATTGTACTATCTTGAGACATCGAAGGTTTTCCGAATTCGTGGCATCCGACATGAGCTTCTTCAAATGATTCAACAACGAAACCGTGTGGTCGGGTACATGCGCCAAAGAACCCAGCTGCCTCCAATGGTCAAGAAGGCCGCATTTTGTAACAAGTGCTACTCGAAGACAGCTTGCTTCATCTACCACAAGCTTGCTGATAACGGTGATGGAGAAACGAGTGGTCTTGGTGACGATTTCGTTAAAGCTACCCAACACTTGAATCCACAACACCAGGAGTTCTTCAAGAAATGGGATGAATTGTTGACAAAGGAGGAACAAAGCATGATCAGGTTCAAACGCGAGCTCTGGACACTCTTGAGTAGTGAGCGCGAAGCTCTCGGCCGCTGCTTTGGCAATGTTGTGATCGATCCTGATCATACCTATGAAGATAAAGATGGACCCAAGATCAACCGGTTCCGATACACTTTCCGCAAGAAGCAAGCACCTCCGGGTTTCTCCTTCACTGAATCCCAGCTGAGCATAGGCGAGCCCATTGTGGTTTCCGATGAGAGAGGTCACTTTGCCCTTGCAAATGGTTATGTCGTTCAGGTTAGCGCGAAAAGCATCACCGTCACGGTTGATCGAAAGCTCCACGGCAGGACGCGGATGAAGGGCTTCAATGCCGAACACAACCAGTCATTCAAAGGCATCATGGAGATACTCGAAGAAGGTGTCTCTTCCCCGCCAGTCGAATTGGACGAAGAAACTGTTTATCGCCTGGACAAGGACGAGTTTAGTAACGGCATGGCAATTGTCCGCACAAACCTTGTTTCCATGATGGAAAAGGACCTTTTCCAAGCCAAGCAGTTACGAAGACTGATTATTGAGGTTGAAGCCCCCTCCTTCAAACCCATGGAGTCAGGCTATATACTCCCTGGTGTTGACAAGGCGAACTTGAACATCGACCAGAAACAAGCGATCGACAAAGTCATGAGTGCCCGAGACTATGCTTTGGTACTTGGAATGCCTGGAACGGGGAAGACGACGACCATTGCCCACATAATTCGCGCATTAGTCGCGCAAGGGAAAAGTGTTCTGCTCACCTCTTACACCCATACTGCTGTTGACAATATTCTGCTGAAGATCCGGGATGACAACTTCCGCATTCTGCGGGTCGGGGCTCCTACGAAGGTGCATCCAGATGTGCAGCAGTTTGCTGACCTCGCGGCCATCCCGAAGAAAACCATTGAAGAGCTCAAGGCGTCGTACGAAGAATCCCAGGTGGTGGCAACGACCTGCCTCGGGGTCAGCCACAGCATCTTCAGCCAGAGAATCTTCGACTATTGTATTGTGGATGAAGCATCGCAGATCACACTTCCTGTGTGTCTAGGCCCGATCCGAATGGCAAGGACTTTCATCCTTGTCGGTGATCACTATCAGCTACCGCCGTTAGTGCAGAACAAAGAAGCTCAAGAAGGGGGTCTTGACGTCAGTCTTTTCAAGTTACTTTCCGATGCCCATCCAGAGTCGGTCGTCAACCTTGAGCATCAATACCGCATGTGCGAAGACATCATGCTTCTTTCCAACAACCTCATATACTCAGGCCACCTCAAGTGCGGTACCCCGGAGGTTGCAGTACGCTCTCTGAAAATCCCGAATATCGACGGGATCAAGCAGCATCATCATGGCCAGATCCCCCAGTCTCCAAATATGAAACAGATCTGCTTGGGTACAAGCCAAGGCCGCTGCTGGCTGCGTGATCTCGTCGATCCGTCCGCCAAAACCCGCCTGGTCAACACAGACACACTTGCCGCGCCTGCGCTGGACGAGACCAACGGCTCCCGGATCGTGAACCCGACCGAGGCCAAGCTCTGCACCCAGCTCGTGGAGGCATTCATCTCCTGCGGCATCCCTGCACGGAGCATCGGCGTCATCACATTCTACCGCAGCCAACTGTCCCTCCTCAAGCTCAACCTCAGCCGCTACCTCCCGGACCTCGAGATGCACACCGCCGACAAGTTCCAGGGCCGGGACAAAGAGATCGTGATCCTGAGCTGCGTCCGGAGCAACGTCGACAACCACGTCGGCGACCTCCTCCGCGACTGGCGCCGCGTCAACGTCGCCTTGACCCGCGCACGCACCAAGCTGCTCGTGGTCGGCAGCAAGAGCACCCTGCGCGACGGCAACGAGCTTCTCGGCAAGTACGTGAAGCTGGTCCAAGACCGCGGGTGGATCTACGACCTGCCGAAGAATGCCCTCGAAAATCACCTCTTCGAATCCGACAACTTCATGGGCTCAACGCAGGCTTCGTCGGTGCATGGAAGAGTAGCAACATCGCCGAGCCCGACCAAAAAGAACTCCCCTGTTTCTGCTGCTGCTGGCAGGAAGTCCGGCGTCCGCAAACCGCTGAGTCCCGTGCAGGCACGACTCACGCCCCAGGGTCTGAGGAAACCGGCCAAGAAGGGGGCGAAATTGATGAGCGGCAACAAGGTCCTTGGAAATCGACCGGTTCTGCAGGATGTGGTCAATGACCTTGTCGGGTGATTGAATTGTTTTTTGTAATATGCATTGGTTTATCGAGAGATATCATCTGAGCGTTGGGGTTTGTGTTGGGTATAATTTAGGGAATGGGGGGTTCATGGATTGTATTGGGAAGTACTGGTGTTATTTTCCTTTGAATTTCTTTTTGGGTATGATGTGCTATCACCTCCTCATCATCGGCATGTGTCAGATATCGTAGTGTCATTCATCTCTATACATGCAGAAAAAACTTCTTGTCTGAGTGTACAGTACAATTCTCCAACACAGGGGGGTATAATCAACTACACATTTTCCAACAGGTATCCAAAAAACCAACCCCGTTACGTTACTGTAGAACCGACGCTCCCACAAACTCCCAACTGACAAAGTGCCGCCCCAACCGCCGAGCAGCCGCAATCGCATCCTTGCCAACCTTCTCCTCATCCTCGGGCCCCGAAGGCGCAGCAGCAGCCATCGTCAACGCCGGAAGCACCAAAAGCGAATACCCGTCCCGAGCCTCGACCGCCTCCCGGCCCAGCGCATTCGCTGAGATGGCGAACCAAGCGGATGCTGCCGCGGAGCCACCGGCAGCCGTCTCCCGCCTACCACCATGGTATCAGTAGTCGTTCCTTCACAGTGAGTGGGGGAGTGGGGTGATCCAGAGAAGACGCACAGTAACTGAACCAGCAACCCCACGATCCATTTGGAAGGGATCAGGCCGCGCCACCGTAGCGACACGAGGTCGGTGGGTTGGGCCTCGTCCGCGTCCGGCACGCTGTAGCGGCTCAGGTACGGGTCCACGTCGTCGGCGGCGGTGACGCGCGGCGAGCCGAGGGAGACCATCGCCAGCCATTCGGAGACCTCGGTGCATTGGTTTTGCAATTCCGCTTGGTGGGTAGCGGCTGCGGCTGCGGTGGACGAGTCCTGAAGTTTGAGGGTGTCGAGAGGCGGGACGAGGATTTGCGGGTGTTCGGTGATGGCGGGCGAGCAGGGGAGGATTTGCGGGTGGTTGCCTTTGAGGGATAGGTCGTCTGGTGCTGGTATGTTAGCTTTGCGGAGTGCTGTATACGTCGAGGGTAGGGTTCGGTTTTGGGAGAAGGGTAATGGGGGGTTAGGGGTACCGTCGGCGATGCCATTTGTCTCGGATGAAAGATCGAAGAAGAGCCAGGCTACGGACTGGGTAAGGACGTTTTGGAAGGCCCACTCAATCCGCTTGAAGCCCTTTTTGCCGTGGAGCATCGATGGTAAGCGGAGGTTGAGTTCGATGACTGGTTCGAGGGTTAGCTTCTGTGGTTGGTTGGCATTGGAAAGAGGGGGGGGGAGGGGGGCGTACTGTATCGCTCTTTTGCGTGTTTCCTGCCGCCGCTGCGGATGGGCTTTCCTGTCAAACCGGTCCGCTCGAAGATCTCCCTGCTGAGCTCGAGTTTCAAGATGCCTAGGGATCTGGTTAGGGAACTTTGTTCATGCGTTGGACTAGATTGAGCTGCTGGGAGGCGGGGGCACCATCTCGGAGCGTGAAGACACTGTCTGAGCCTGATCGGCCCTCCGATATCATAAGAATGTTTCCTGCGAAAGAAAGAAGTCAGCACCATCAGGTCACCGCTGAGTGATCTGTGAAGCCAGTGAGGTGCACCTTTCTTGATGTAGGTGTTGAAGAATTCCGTCTCCAGTAGAGACGACAGGGACATGAACACCCGCGCATAGCGGAGCTTCTGTAGTTTACTGTCCAAGGATGCTTGGATGGTTGTGTATGCCTCCTTGGGTAAAGTGACTTCGACCTGGTGGTATTGTTAGTAAGGCTCTATTGTATTGTGGGCCAACATACAGTATGGACGAAAGGATGGCCCAGAATGGCCGAGAACGGGACTTTTCTTGTCGGTGGCTGTTTAGGATCGATGAATGGCGGCAGTTGTCCTAGGCTGGTGAAGCACTTTTCGCGCCTGGACGCATCATCGTTGAATTCTAGCATAACGAGGGAAAGTTATAGAGACGAGTTGAGAGCGATTCTTGTTGTTTGGCCTTGGAATTGTTCAATACGTTCTTCCTTAAGCACGACTGAAAAAAGTTCGGATGCGAACCAGCCCGGAGAGCCTTATCGGTCGCTTCAGTTTCGCTGGTACACAAGATCACAGAGATAAACTGCTATACTGCTAAACAGCACCAATTAGTTGTACCAGTAGCAGTGAGATCAACCTGAAAGTATTGTACCGTGGCTTTTTTGTACTCTTGGTTGGGGATCCAAGTATATCTCATGGAGAAGGGATTCAATGGCCTTGCCGGTCACCTGACCTGATTCCGCTGTGGACTATCGAGTACATACAAATGGGATTGTGTAGGAACTATTTTGACAGAAAGGAGCTTGTCGATGGTCAGTAGCCTGAGATGAGCTAGAATCCTTGAGTTCCCCTGCGATTAGATCAATAGTGAAGAAGAGCACAAGCTGCAGTCCCAAGAACATAGACTGCACTCGCATACTATAATGAGACAGCTCCGGGATCCGACCAATCACCGAGATGCGTAGGAACTGGAACTCCGCGTCGCGGCACTTTCAAGCTCACTTTCCAGCTTTCCATCCTCTTCTGCCAAACTTCCCACTCTCTCAATTCCATTTTCAATCTAGTTCAACTGAATTCCGCAGCCCCTTTCCTGATCGCTCCTCTAATCCCGTGTGTGAATTCCACTTCAACCTCAACAAACAGCCCCTCGGGGCTTCTCATCGGATTGGCAGCCCGCCGCAATCGCAAATCTGCCAGTGCCCGCACCGCAGCACCGTCCAATCGCGCAATGGCACCCCCTCCCCCTCGCCGGAATCTACTCCCCAAAGACCGATTTGCCTTCAACTTTGGGAGTCTAAAGACTCAGAATTACCATGATCCTGTTGCGCGTGGACCGGGATCTCATACGTGCGTGTTCCGCTCCGCTCCCCCCCGCGACGACGACATGAAGCAATGAAAGCATCATGGATCCAGGATTCCTACTGATACGAGCCGACTACGGTTGAACACACACACAGTATCCGAACAATCGCCTGGAACCCCACGGGCCAGCTAGTTGCAACTGGGTCCGCCGACCGCACCCTCCGAATCTGGAACCCCGAACGCTCGCAAGTCAAATACTCCACCGAATTGCGCGGCCACACGGCCGGTATCGAGAAGGTCGTCTTCAACCCCACGCGGGACTCGGAATTGGCCAGCTGCTCGACGGATGGCACGGTGCGGTTCTGGGATGTGCGGTCCAAGACATGTGTGAGCCGGCTGGACGTGGGCACGGAGGCGTTCACGCTGTCCTGGTCTGCGGATGGGAGCACCCTTATCGTGGGAAGAAAGGTTGGTATAGCCCTGCAGCTGCTGCAGCAGCAGCAGCAGCAACAACAACATCCACCCCGACTTGCTGACGAGTGCATCGATTCTTAGGACGACACCCTCATCCCCATCTCCATTGAGTCCCTCTCCACGCCGACGCCGACGCCCACCCTCCTGACCGACAAACCCCCCGCAGCAACCACAACCACCCCTCCCACAAGCATCTACCGAGCCCTCGAACCCCACCAACAACCCGTGCAAACCAACGCAACGACCTTCTCGCACCACATGGCCACGGCCGCCGCCCCGGACCTACACCTCTTCGCGACGACGGGCGAGGGGACCGTCAAGATCCTCTCGTACCCGAGCTTCTCCCTGCTGCACACCCTGCACGCGCACACGTCGGCCTGCCTGTCCATCGCCCTGGCGCCGACGGGCCGCTACCTGGCCGTCGGCGGCAGCGACGCCCTGATCTCGCTGTGGGACACCACCGACTGGATCTGCCGCCGCACGGTCTCCAGCAGCAACGGCGGCGCCGTGCGCGGCGTCAGCTGGAGCTTCGATGGCCGTTTCCTCGTCGGCGCCTGCGACGAGGTCGGCTGCGGCGGCAACGGGCTCGAGGTCTTCCACGCCGAGACCGGCGAGTCCGTCTACACCGTCCCCGTCGGCGGCAATGCCAACTCCGGCATCCCCGCCGTCGCCTGGCATCCCTCGCGGTACTGGCTGGCGTATTCCACCACCGCCGATGGCAGTGGCCATGGTGGGTTGAGGATCGTGGGGGCGGCTGGGGGGAATCTGTAATATCAAGGTGTTGTTGTTTTTGCTGCTGCTGCTGCTGCTGCTGCTCCCCCGGCAAAAGATGAATCTTATGTTGTGTTTGTCGAGAGACAATGTATGATGTCCTCTCCACCGTAAAGGGTTATCGTGTGCAACCCTAGTGGTCATCCATTTTCAGGCGTTTTTATGGTGTTGTCGAGGCAAGTCTTGCTGGTTCTGGTCGCATATGGTTCTTGGATGTTGTCTTTCACTTTGCATTTCTCCCCCCCCCCCCTTTCTTATAGTTGCTAAGTGCGGGGTGAAAACCACAAGTCTTACCATTTAGGAAGTCTGGTATTTTACGAACATGTAGGACGCATTGGCTATATTGATTCTTGATATAGATGATCTCATGGGGTATGGTATGTCCAAATGCTAACTCAACTCGATATCCCCCCACCCTCCCACATATCAATGAATGTACAATTCGTAAGTCTCGTGATGTTTCCCGCCCAGCGGCTCTATAGTGATTGATCATCATTCTTTTCTGTTCCAAATTCTCGCATATGCAAATGGGACGGATCTCTCAAGGCAGAATATTCGGATCCGGGTAGGCATCCCAGTTCGTGGTCAGAAGCTGCGCCCACTGGGCTTCGCTGAGACCGTCCAGACCGCCGGACATGCTGTTGTCCAGGGTGGAACCATCGAGCCCAGAGAACGCGAGGGCATTCACGTCCCACCGCGGGACCCCGGCGAAGACATCGGGATACCCAGCGCCAGCGTCGAGTGGGATCGCCGGATTGGCGAACATGAGGTTTGCTGCGGTTGAATTGGTGTTGCAGGCTGCCGCAGCCGAATCGAGGGAGCTGGCTGGGGTGGCGATGAAGCTGTTGTTGGCGAGTCCAGGCGGCTGCTGGGGACTGAGTCGCGTGTACGACGAGGTGGCGGAGGATGAGTGAACATCCGGGGAGAGCGAGTCGGTGCGCAGATCTACACTGCTGCTGCCGCCGCTGTAGTCGACCACCACGGGATGGCTCAGGTCTCGGTCGGGGGTGTGGATCTCGTCTCCGAACGTCGGGGGCTGCTGTTGGGTGCGATGTCTTTTGTGCCGGTGGGCTGCTGCTGCTGCTGCGTCACTCAGCGAGGGGTTGGCTTGGCGGACTTCGAGGCGGATCTGCTGCGCGACTGAAGAGGACCGGGAGCTGGAGCCGCAGCTTCCTTGCGATGCGTCGAAGGGGTCTGGGTCAGGCTGGACTCGTGTTTGGCTGACGTTCAGTAGAGATGAGTCGCTGGAGTAGCGTCTCTCGGTGAAAGCCTAAGGAAAGGAGGCCAATTAGCACTCAATGATCCTGTGAGATTTCAAGGAAAGGGACGGAGCTTACCGCGTCTCGCTGCAGACCCGCTCTCATGAAGCATGCTTTCTTCGACTGATTGAAGTCGGACAACACCGTACCTGCGGTATCGAGATCCAGCTGAAAGATAAACGATTCCGCAAGCGGGTTCTTGGTCTTCAGTAGGTGAAGTGCGGAGAAGACGAATTGTAAGGATGAACGGGCGGCCGAGTCGTCGGGCCGGAATTTCAGGTATTGTACAAAGACGCGTGCCGCAACGTAGACGCAAAAGGGTGTGAGGACATTCATCTGAAGATGCGTTAATGTCAAATAAGTTTGAATTCGAACTCGGACTCACCTTGCTGGGATCGACATGGCTGCTCAACCTCAAGATGTTCGAGATCTGCTCCGCAGCCAAGATACATCTTCTCTTGCTTTCGGTGGCAATGGGCCCTGGCATCTTGTTCTTTTCCGCTTTGAAGATGGCCGCCTGGTGGAGACAGATGGTGGCCGTGTGGATGGCCATGTTACAGAAGATGACGTTGGGGTCGGTTGTCCCGACGGATAATCGCAGATGAGAAGGCATGGTGAGAGAGAAATGGAGCAAAATGTTGTCATGGGACCTGTGCCGCTGCCAGTAGACCCCATTGAGGTCGTGATCGTCATCGTGTGGATTAGGCCGATGAAGGTGGGCAAGGTTCTTGCCAAAGATGCTGGCCATGAAGGCCACACCCCCGAAAGCAGACAGGGTAGGCATGCCCTCTCCCGCGTGCGCAGCTTCTAGAGAAACTGTGTCTTGGGGCTGGTTCTTGAGAAAAGCCTCTTCAGAGGCTGGTAAATTAGTCAAGACCTGTGGGGTCATGTCAGTTGATTGTTCTCTTTCAGCACACATACATTAGGTCACAACTCACATCTCTGTCGTCGAAAACGACAGGCCACCCAGTGCCAATGCTCGCAAACCGGTCGGCACAATACGCCATCCAGAACACCCGCCGTCGCTCCTCTTTTTCATTCCAGTCTTTTGCAGCAGTCAATGTTTGCTTCACATCGATACCTTCCCCATCGACCCGATTCAACCCTATCATGATAGCCAGCCTTGCGGCTTTCCCAGAACTCAACCACGCTCGAGGGAAGAACATCATCTTGAACTCGTAGGTACAGATGAGCACCCAAGCCTGACAGTGACCTAAAGACACCGCATGTTCCCCCAGCCCTTTCAGTTCGTCCGCCTCGGCGTATTTGCGGGCCCGCTCGTAGAATACCGAATGCAAGCTGGAGTATTTGTCGCTGATGGATGCCGCGTGACTCCACATAATATATTGCAAGCACAACGGGGGTCGTATGCTGGGGCCGAGGCTCATGGCCGCCAGTAGCCTGGGACGATGTAGTATGGGAATCCCAGGATGGATTTTCTCGAAGTATATCTCATTCCTGTTGGAAATAGTGAGAAAGTGAACACGGAAGCAAAAGGCGATTCACTGAAAACATACAGCTCATCAATAATTTCTTGACTCGGAAGAGGCTCCTCCAGGCCAAGACTTATCATCTCCATGCCATAGTCCGGGGAGTTGGTCGGGCCAGCTTGCTGGAACGCTTGAGCGGGGAACGGGTCGGAGATTCGATCATGGTGTTGCTGAAACTCGCTCGATTCATTAATGATAGAAAGGATCTCGGAGATGTCGGTTGAGTGGTTTGTGACTGCGCCGGGGAAGCCACTCCCTTGGTCTAGTGGTATATTTGTCTTCTGGTTCTTCAACAGGTTCTCGACTTGCGCTGCACGTGGGAAGTGGAATGTCAGTATGGGAGGGGCAGCTCAGAATCCGTACGCCAGCCAGGCGCCAGAAGGGTTGTGTCCTCCGAGGTTCACGTACCCAATCGCGCTTCCAACTGTTTCACATAACCTCGTTTGGGCCCGCTTTTCTTGCGAACTTCGTCGAAAAGGCATTCATGGCCGAGACGGGAGCAAGTGCCGCAGCTGGGCCGCTTCCCGTCGCATCTCAGCTTTCGCCTCCGACAAAGTACGCAGGCAATGCGCTTCGGACGCGGTACATAGTGGCTGTCTGCATCGCTGTGTCCGGTCTCGTGCGTCGTAGAGGGAATCTGCAGGTCCTGCGAGGATGACGAAGGGTGAGGATCGGAGAGATGATGTGGGGGGCGATTCGAATCTGTCATGGCCGGAGGCGCGTGCAAGGAACAAGCAAGGAAAGGAATGACGCAGAAAGAGGAACACAGCGGAACCGGTCGGAGGAGACTGGCTCTCGATTTGCAAGACAAACGACTTAGGGAATGTAGTAAAGTTGGTACGGCATTGACTTTTGGTAAACGATAGAGGTCAAATGTCGCTGTCAGTGTGAAACTATCGCTAAGTCAGCAGGAGGCTTCTAGGCGCATCGTCGATTCGAAGTCGTTCCTGGTTAGTAACTTTTGGCCACCACAGGGCGTTTGTGAGGGTGGGAGTCGATGATTTTTGGCCCTTAAGCTGATCTGGAGAAATTCTTTGCTGGAACTGAATGCAAAATAATTCTTTTAGAGAAACATTCAAGGTATTCAACCCATTGAATGCCGTTCACCAGGGATCGATTGTTCTTCGCTCACGACTCGCGGAACAATAACGGCGACCATTATTAAGATGAGCAAGGACCACCTTCTCTCATTGGGCAACGCCATGCTCATCCTACATCAACCTGGTACTGAATCATTAAGACGTAGCCTGAAATAAAAGGTAATCTTGGATTTCTTAACCATGTAGCAGTAGTAGTAGTAGTATACAAAAACAACGCCAGAAAATATGAGGGTGGACATTTCCATAAGACCCGGACGGAAAGCAGTGTAACCAAAGTAGATATCTAAAACCCTCGAGGAAAAGCCATGCCGGAGACGAAATAAAGTACATACAACCGAATGCAAATGAGAAGCGGCCTTGAGCAAGTGAATCAGAGAAATCTGACTGTGTCCACCCCAGCACCTTTCCCACCGAGAAGTAGAGTCACACTTCGAACATAATGCTTGCCGCATGAGGGGAAATCGAGGGAAAGGTAAAATAGAATGTACATGATAGATCGTCTAGCTGTATCCACGGCGACGCTTGCCCTGGTTGCGAACTCTGGGCACGACGACGGCCTTGTTGATCTTCCACTTGGGACGAGTCTTGTAACCGGATTTCGCCTGTACGAAAAAAAATGTTAGCCAACTAATCGAATTTAAACATCCTGGGTATATTGATTGAGGAATACATACAGGCATACCCCAAGGACTCTTGGGATCCACGTTACCCTTGGACTTACCACGTCCACCACCGTGAGGGTGCTCAGCGGCGTTCATGGCGAGACCACGGACGGTAGGACGAATGTTCAGCCAACGAGAACGACCAGCCTTTCCAAGCTGTCTGTATTGGTAGTTGGGGTTGCTGGCAACACCGATCGTAGCACAACAATCCTTGTGAATCAGTCGAACTTCACCACTTTGTAAGCGGATCGTGATGTGGGAAGCAATGCGCTCCCGCTTTTGCTTTTCGTTTTGAGTCATGCGCTTGACCTCAGTTTCACCCTCCTGATCCTTCCTCAGGTTCTCCTCGTACCGGGCCTGTTCATCACTACCCTTGGCGATGACCGTGGCAAAGGTACCAGCGCTACGGCACAGCTGGCCGCCCTTGCCGGGACGGAGACCGACGTTGAAGATCAATGTACCAATTGGAATCATGTGTAGAGGCAGGCAGTTTCCTCTCCAGGCGGTTCTTGCGGCCAACACACCAGGATCCACAACTCCTCCCATGCTCTTCCAGAGTTCTTCCGGAATTCCGGCCATGTAGCTCTCGACCACATCACCAGCTCTCATCCCATCGGCGGCAAGAATATAAGTGAGCTTCCTGGTCAACTTGCTCCGGACGAGAGCAATGTGAGCGGAGCGACCGGGGTCATGTTCGATGCGCTCCACCTCGTGCGGGCCTGGTGCGGCGCGCGCAAAGTCGACCATACGAATACGGCGCTTGTGACCACCACCACGATGTCTGACCGTGACTTGACCCGTGTTATTACGACCACCCTTGGCTTGACCTCGTTTGGGGAAAGTCAATCGATGCACGGGACGTCCTTTCCAGAGGTGATCGTTGATCGGCCTTCGCAAATGTCTAAGACCGGGTGTGCGGGGTTTGTACCTGCGGACCTGGATACCGGACTGTTCACGCACGGGCGGAGGAGCAAAGGTGATGTTGGGATCGAAAGCTGAAGTGAGAGTCTCACCAGCGGAAGGAGTTCCGGTGTCGCGGGCGGTGGAGTATGCTCGGGGTGCAATAGCGGAGGACAGGCATCTGAAGGGCAGGCGCAAGCCCGTCAAGGCCATGCGGGGTTGCAGCATGATGAAAAGAAGACTCCGACGTGGAGTTTGAGGACAGACTGAATGGTCAATGGATCGCAGTCGGGTGTTCAGGCTAATGCCGCAATGGCTATCTTGATTATAGCGGAAAGTCGAGGTAGAGGATTAGTGACTGGGCATTCTCGTTCAGAAAAAAATCAAAAGAAATCCGGCACAGAGCAAGTGGATGATGAAGACCACGTCGAGTGACACCACCGAGACAACACCCCGCTCAAGTGCAAGTGTTGTGAGAACCTGGGGATGATTGCAGCACTTTCTTGTCCACCCGGAACAAAAATGTCGAACATGGTTTGGACGGTGTGGCTTGGCCGCATGGTCACCTGATGTTCTTCCCACCGCCACAGGAAGATGGAGCCACTAAAGATGACTAAGCGGAATACAGCACCGGCACGTGATGAGACCGCGACACGACAGACAGATAGAGTAGGTTGCCGTAGTGATGGACTAGTGTTTTGGCGGTCGTGGCCGCGCAGCATCACGGTCGAAATCGCGACGGGCGTCTTGGAGGCCAGCAGGTTCAGGTGTCTTTCCTGCCTTGAATTAACTCAGGCATCAACCATGGGAACTGAGATCGATGGATGACGCTCTCTCCGCTCTTCTCTCGCTCCACCACCATCACTAGTAAATACAGCAGGTTATGCACTCTCTCTTCTCCCTGACCGTATCATCGGTACCATTTCTTACCGCACCTTCGCACAGGCCTTTTGCAGAGCAGTTACGTCGGTCATACATCCACTTGACACTTGCATACATACATATAACATCGATCTTGAGCCGCCCTTCTTTGCTCCTCCCCTCTTACACCCCCCTTTCTGTTTGCTGTTGTAGACTATCCCGTACCTCTCTTTCCTTCCTCCCCCCCCCCAAAAACCTGGTCCTTCATCTCTTCTCCACTCCTACCTTAAACCACTCACTCACTCACTTCTCCCTCCCCTCACCTCCCCTCGTACGTACATAAACATCAACATCAACATAAACATCAATATCGAGTACCTGTCTACCCATCTATCCATCGATTCACTTTGCAGACTCTAAGCAAACTCTCTTCACTTTGCATCAACATTACATACGTGGTACAGCTCCAGCACCATCTGCAATTGCCCACTGCCAACTGGGTTGTGCTGTTACGGGAGTGGGGCATCTTTTCCCATCTTGGCCGGGCTTTTCCACGCTAAGAGTAGGGCCAAACATAGCCTTTGCCCTGTCACCTCTCGACCACCTTTTCCCTGGACCTACACTTCTCTATCAACATCATCATCTCCTCCAAGGGGGCTCGACACCACCCATTGAAGCCGCCAAATCTCGCCTGTTTCTCGTGTCATTGTCGATAATCTACACGTCGACATCCATCTTCTCGCGCCCGACCGACCGTACGCCTCGAATTCAGCGCGAAAATTACGTGACCGACTCAACTCGAACCCTCAGACCTTGTCAATAACGTCAACAAGGTCTTATATGCGACTATCTGGAACTTGCATTACCCGGATAACTCTCAAATATCTGGCTTGATAGCTTGCAGAGCCTTGCATTGAGCCTAATATATTGGGGTTGGGCAAATAATCACGCGTGGTACGTATGATTCCCGTCTCCCAGTCTCCAGGTATTTGAGCTCCACCGGGGTAATCTCCTCGGGAATGCTGACTAGACACTAGCTAACCGGGAGCTCGCAGTTGCTATAGGCACCTCATAACTTGTTTTGCTCCTCTTTAGTCTTTCCTCTCACCCTTCTCCTTTCTCACAATATGCCTCCGGTAAGGATCCCCTGACCAAGTGACGCGTCTGTTGTGTCGACTGTTCACCAACCGTGCGGAAACTGCACCCTGGCGTTCTGCCTCGCGTGTACGGAGTTTCTCATGCTAATGTCCTTGCAGGCCAGAAGCCTCCGCACGAGAGGTGCCATGAACGAGAACGATGAGAACGGGCCGTCGACGCGCCTGACCCGGGCCAAGGCTGCTGCCCTGTCGTCCGGTGACGCCCACACCACTGCCGCCGCCACTAAGAAACCCACCCTACAGACCAAGAAGGCTGCCACCGCCACCACTACCGGAACTACGAGACGACGTGCAGCTCTGGGAGATGTGAGCAATGTTGGCAAGACAGAGAATGGCGAAGTCAAGGAGGCGAAGAAACCGGCTGCGACCAAAGCTCCCTTGGCACCCAAGAACAACCTGCCGACCGGAGGCGTTCAGAAACCCACCAAAACGAACCCGGCACGCACCAACCCTGGAGTCAAGAGTGACACCGCGAAGAAGCAGCCCGCAGAACCGAAACGCCCTGGTAGCGGATCTGGAATTGGTGGAAATCAGCCGAGACGGACCACGACCCGCAACTTACAGCAGAAAGAGGCAGTGCCAGAGGAACCACCATTGAAGAAGGCCAATGTCGAAAAGAAGGAAAAGAAGCCAGTGACGGAACAGGTTCAGGATGAGAACGCCCAGGCACCTATTGATCCCAAGGTTCTGGAGAAGCCCACCGAAGATTTTGTGGATGATCTGGACGCTGAAGACCTCGATGACCCGTTGATGGCCGCCGAATACGTTGTTGAGATCTTCGACTATCTTGCAGTGCTAGAGGAGGAGACCTTGCCCAATCCTGACTACATCGACCATCAGCCCGACTTGGAATGGAAAATGCGTGGTATCCTTGTCGACTGGCTCATCGAAGTTCACACTCGTTTCCGCCTACTCCCCGAAACCCTGTTCCTTGCTGTGAACATCATCGATCGTTTCTTGTCTGAGGAAGTGGTCGCTCTGGACCGTCTTCAATTGGTTGGTGTCGCTGCTATGTTTATCGCATCCAAGTACGAGGAAGTACTCTCGCCCCACGTCGCGAACTTCAGCCACATCGCCGACGAGACCTTTTCGGACAAGGAGATCTTGGACGCTGAACGTCACATTCTCGCCACGCTGGAATACAACATGAGCTATCCCAACCCGATGAACTTCCTCCGCCGCATTTCCAAAGCAGATAACTACGACATTCAAACCCGTACTCTTGGAAAGTACCTCATGGAAATTAGCCTTTTGGATCACCGATTTATGGAGTACCGCCAGAGCCATGTTGCGGCCGCTGCAATGTACCTGGCTCGCCTTATCCTCGCTCGGGGGCCTTGGGTAAGTTTCGCTATCATCAGCTATCTACTCCGCACACTAACGCATGGTAGGACGCCACCTTGGCTCATTATGCTGGATACACGGAAGAGGAAATCGACCCCGTCTTCCGGTTGATGATCGATTACCTTCATAGACCCGTGTCCCACGATGCGTTCTTCAAGAAATACGCGAGCAAGAAGTTCTTGAAGGGTGAGCACACATTGTTCCAGTTGAGCCCATCCTACGATAACTGACAGTCCTTCTAGCATCCATCCTTACCCGGCAATGGGCGAAAAAGTACCACCAACTTTACATCACCAGTTCTATGTCAGAACCCTACCACTTCATTCAAGAAAAGGAGTAAGAAGAGCGTCTCGTGACGATACTAAACCGGCATCCGACAAAACGACCCACAATAGGAGTTGGTTGATCCATATGATGGTATTTTATTTCTGATGGTATAAGGGCACCTCTTGCATATGTTTACGACGGCATTTTCCTGTTTTCGCTTTGCGGATGTTTGCATTGTTCGCTTCAAGGGTGTCTGGCGCTTTTCTCCTCTGCCTTGTGTTCGAGTTCTTCTCTAGTTCCTTCGGCTTGTTTTCTTGGTCGTGTCCTGGGTTGTACCTGCTGATACCTAACTTAAATATTCTCCTTCTTGACCCTGGGTGCTATGTGCATCGGACACACCAAGGTCGGAGGTTCTACTCCCAGTGTTATTTCAACTCTCTATTTCATTTTTGGTTCTACTTTTGCTTACAGCGACTGCTAAATCTCCTTGTCTTGCATCTTTCTTTTTCCACAGTGCGTGCTAGGTCTCTGCTGTGGAGGTATGTATGCTCAAGGCCTGGACGGATAATTGATCAGTGCGTTTGATCATGAATTGCACATGTCCTGAATAATGACCGGGTAAGCACCGAGGCTTCTTGAGGTTCCTACGTGTACGGGTAGAAAATCAGAGCAGCTTGCTTAATGGTAATCATGGAATGACTATTCGAGATGAGTTCATTGAAGAGTATACTTGAGTTAGTTGGTTTCCTTTTGGTAGCAAAGGCTCTGGCGCTGGGTCTGGCGATGGCAGCGTTTGTAGGACCGAGGTTCCGAGGCAGGGATTCGGCACCCCCGCCAGCCACCACATTCTATTGTTGTTCCTACTTTCCATTCTTCACCAATGTGCAACCACCTCCTGCATAACCAGAGCCTTCCGTGAGAAATCTGGAACTTCCATTAATTCTGGGTGGCGTCGCAAAAGCAATCGGATAAGCTTTCCTGGCACCTCAATCTCAATCCCAGCAGCAACCGCTGCAGCTACAAATCAGCACGAACTATATATTTATGTCCCACACCCGCCGGTGGCTCTCACATCCACTCATCATACAACAACTTGAACTATACCAAGTCAACTTAATCTAATCAACTCCAACTCGGAATTTGAATCAAGCAAGATGGACTCCATTCCATCCTCCTCCTCATCCCCATGCCCCTTCTGCACCATCGCCCACACATACCCGCCTCTCCCCCCGACAACGTTCCTCCGCCAACACCACCAAGACCCAAATCCCAAGAATGTCTCCAACCCAGCGACGCTGTCGACCCCCCCACATTCAGATCTCGATACGACAACGAGCACGAGCACGAGTACGGCCCACCTCATCCTGTCGACCCCATCCCTCCTCGCCTTCCTGGACATCATGCCCCTCACGAGGGGCCATCTCCTCCTTGTCACGCGGGAGCACTATGAGAAACTGGGCGATGTCGGGGTAGGCGTTAGTCGCGAGGTTAGTCTAGTCCTTTACCTACTGACTTACCCACCTCCCATCATCAAACCAGAACCACATTGAAACTAGTCTCGCTCTGTTCTAGTGGGCAGTGTACTACTACTAGTACCACTGGATAAAGCTGACCCCGAGTAAAAGATCGGCCAATGGCTCCCCATCCTCTCGCGGGTAGTGATGCGGACGCTTTTCGGGGCGGACGCAGCAGCAGCGGACTGGCATTGGAATGTGGTGCAGAATAATGGTGCGTTTTACTCTCACTTCTCTTCAGTTCACCGATGGTGGGGGGGGTCATCGTAAGCACAGCACAGCAGAGCTAACCCGGACAATGGGGGCTTGTAGGCGTCCGAGCAGCGCAGCAGGTTCCGCATGTGCATTTTCATGTGATTCCGCGACCGGATTTGGGCAGTGCGTCGGGTGCTGGTGCTGCGCGGCCGAGTTTTGTGATGTTTGGGCGCGGGCAGAGGGAGGAGTTGGATGAGGAGGAGGGGGAGGCGTTGGCGCGCGGGCTGAGGGAGGAGTTGGCGAGGGAGATTGTTAAGGTCATGAAGGTGGAGGGGGTAGATTTGGAGGTGGGGTTGGGGGTTGGGGGCAGGGGGAGACTTTAGGTTTTATTGGTCTAGAGATACAGTACAGTGCTGTGTAAAGAATAGACATGGGCTTAGGGTTTTCATCGCCAGGTTTATATGGTATTTATTTATGCATCCATTCCAGGTTCTTGGTGTGAGTATGATGAGCATGACATGATGGATTTTTAGATAAATGCATGCTAGAGGCTATTCTGGTATCATGGGGCCGGCGTGGCGCTGCCTGATCTGGGTTCTTTATTGTCGTACTGCGGGTTTCTGGTGAAGTACTATTCCTTAAGTCAATATACGTGGATCCTATATTGATAATCCGAGGGAGGTGATAAAAGGCAACGTACCTTCTTTCTGAAGGAATTCAATTGATCGGCATAGACGCCCTCTGAGTCGAGTCTGCTGCGTCCCTTGGACACATCCGATACTTGTCCTTCGGGGAGTCTGCGGTAGGTGATGAGTCGACGGGACCCTGAGATGCTGTTAGTGCTGTTGTCCTTGACCTATGGAATGATGTTGGAAGAAGGCAGACGGTTCCACTCACAGTTGTAGAAGGGCTGAACGGACACACTCAGAACCTCCAGGTTCGGGTGCATGGGCGTGTCTAGCTCGAGATCCTCGTCGTTGGCGGTAGGCATCCACATGCACATGCGCCCACCGATAACGAGAGTCCGAGCGGCGAAGTTGAGGATATCGTTCTGCATGGCCTCGAAGCCGTAGGGCTTCTTCGGAGCAATGTAACCGGGTCGACTGTATACACACGATCAGCGATACGGGGCTCTTCTCCCGTGGCGTCACCACCACTCAAGCAAAAGAACCAAAAAAAAAAGAAAGAGGAACATACAGATGAGCCGGCACCCCATCGATAATCACCTCCTCGTTCCGGAGCCCCTCCCGCCTCCCCAACACCCTCAGCCCCTCGCGCACCCCGTACGGCGGATCGCAGACGATCCCGTCGAGGAACGGCTGCGCGCGCAGCGGCGTATTCGTCAGATCGGAGGAGAAGACATCCAGAAACTGGCCGACGATCTCATACTGCTGGAAGTTGGCGAGCACGCCCATGGTGCCGCCGCGCTCGATCATCTCCTTGCCGCGGAAGCTGCGGCCGTCGATGTCCGACCCAAAGTTCAGGGCACCGAAGTGGCCCATCGCCACGAGGAAGCTGCCCGTGCCGACGAAGGGGTCGTAGAACAGCTTGCCCGGCGCCGCGTGGGCCATGTTCGCCGTGATCAGCGTCAGCTCCGCGTCCATGGACGTCGTGCTGATGTACCGCCGCTTCTTGAGGTCGTACTTGTTGATCACGTCGCGGCTGCTGTTGGCCAGCCAGCGGCCGAACCAGATCCGCTTGGGTTCCTGGCCTTCTGGAACGGGGCGTAAGATGGGGGTGCTGCTGCTGCTGCTGCGTCCCTCGGGAGTTGCAGCGGCAGCGTCAGTGGCAGCTACATCCCAGCCGTAGTCCTCCAGAACCCAAAAGTCTTGGTCCGGGTTCTTCATGCGGATGGGACCCTGGAAGCCGAGGAAGGAGAACGACTGGATGATCTCGCGCTTCTTGTCGTTGCTGCGTTTGCCCGCGAAGCTGTCGACCGTGAAGCGGAACGAGTCCGTCTGGAAGTCGGCCCAGCGAGCTTCGGTCGTCCGCCTGCGGACATCCGCGTGCACCTCGTCCAGGTTGGTGCCATATCCCCAGAGCTCGAAGATGTCCTTCGCTAGGATGCTGCGGGCGATGAGCGTGCGCGCCGCGGCTTCATCGGAGACTCTGATGACGCAGAATGGGGACTGGGGATGGATTCATTAGTTCATTTTGGCTGCTTTAAGCTTTTTTTTGCTGATGCGGGGGGGGGGGGGGGGGAATGATAGAGAAAATTATGTTGGTGGTAATCTGTAGGTGATATGGAAGAGGAGTGTAGGACAGGTTCATCAGAATGAAACATACATATTTATCGTAGTAGACGAACTCGAGATCAATGCCGGCCAAGTCGGCCAGCGCCTGGATCTCAGGCTGTCGGAAAGACTCGTGGACCTGGGCGAAGCGGATCAGGTATTCCATCGTAATCGTCAGAGGGCTTGCGCTGGGCCCCGCGCCACAGCTGTCTGGTCGAACTGTTTCAATGACTGCAGTACTGCAACTGCGGAGAAAAATCACAGACAAGAAAGACTTGCAATCTGGTCAATTATCTGATTGGGAGCGTCGATGTGATTGTCTGGTCAGTGAGAGATGCGGAATTGATTTTTTTTCCCCTCAAGATCCGCTGGATTTGAGGATCCCGTTTGTCGTCGACACCTTCCAACAGTCCAGCCCTGCTCAACATTGAAGGAATCACAATGCTACTCTACAATTTTGAATGAGACTGAATGTATGTTTTGTGCACGAGGTAAAAATCTATGCAAGCACTTGTAATGATATTTTATCATGGTAACAATTGTAACAAACAGGTCTCCTATGAAGCCGGAGCCGCGAGCCGGAAACAAGAATAGATACATTCTAAGCCCGCAGAAAGATAATAAAACATGCTTGATGATAACAATAAGTGTATGTCTTCGTCCATCAATCTTTACAGCCTGTCCTTCCCTTTTGATGATATCAAAACCCACAATGCAAAACCAACCCAATATACGCCGTTTCTCGAAACCAGCTGAGAGCCAGAGATGGGATGGCTAGCAACACACAAAACACCGCCGCTATGCGCCGACAACCCGAAACACATGTCGTGACTCGTAACCTTCAACCTGCGAGATTTCCACCTTCTCATCCTCCGGGATCATCTCGTGTTTGAGCTCCCACCCGGCCCGGCGGCAGAGCTCGGAGACCACCACGTCGCAGTCACCCAGCAAATCAATATCGAACTCCGTATGCGTCACAGGCTATCAGATCCGTCAGCCTGGGGGTGACTTTGGACTCAAGGAAGTAGGACTTACAGTCCGAGAGATGTAGATTTGAGGCACGTGACGAGGCAACACGCCGGGTGCCTCTGCGACAGGCGCCACTTTCAAAGACGTTCCGATGACAATGACCAAATCCACCCGTTCGCGGTCGTGGTGAAGCAGGCGACGACCGAATTCATCCGGAAGATCCTCGCCGAAGAACGTGATATCGGGCTAAATTGACTGTCAGCAAGACGCCGGGCGAAGAAAATTCCAAAGAAAAGAAGAGAGCGCGCAAACTCACTTTCATAACACCGGGGGACGGGATTTCGTATTCATCATCCGAGCTGTCGCCGCAGTCCTCCTTGCGATTTCGGTGCACACCAGTGGTGCTGCGCTTGCGTTTCGCTCCCGTCTCCTCTGCGATTCGGTCACGGCACGCGGTACACTGAGGGGTGGCACCCTTCTTGATCTCGTCGAAGATCTCGTCACCGGTTACTTGATATTTGCACTTGACACATGTCGCGGTGGCGAACGAGCCGTGACACTGGACGATATTCTCCGCGGCGACACCGGCATTGGCCTCGATGTTGTCGATATTCTGGGTGTAGTTGGTCAACAATTTCCCCTTGTCCTGCAGCAGGCGAATGAACGCGTGCGTCGGCGAGAACTTCTTTTCCGTGGGGAGAATGTCCTTGGCAACCGAGAAGAAGATGCTGGGGTCTTCGCGAAACACATGAATGTCGAACACCTCCTGCGGATCGCTCAGGCCCAGATGCGCGAGCTGTGAATACAACCCGGTATCCTTGGAGCGGAAATCGGGGATCCCAAGACTGGTGGATATCTACAAGATCCGCATCAGTATGTCGCTGACTCTTGCGCGACAAAAACAGGGTGCACCCCAGAGGGGAGGTGGTGAGGGACGACTCACGCCAGCGCCGGTCAGCACGACGATGTTTTTGGACTCCTTCAGCAACCTCACCGCATCATCGATGGTATTGTACTGTGGGAGCTTCGGACGTCTCGAGAATTCGCGCGAGATCGCGATCGCGAGGAGAGGGTGGTAGGCCTCGTCAGGGGCACCTTCGAGGAACGCCGGGGGCTGGATGCCGAACGCCGTGCACAGCTTCTTCGCAGTGACCGTCTCCTTTGCGATGGTCTCTTCGACGAACGCAGCCTTGCCGATTTCATGGAGGCGCTTTCGGTACGCGATAGCCTCCTCCAAAGTACAGGCATCGGGGACTATAGATACTCGAGCGCGGCGCGGTCAGCGGGTGGGGCCTTGGGCTGCACACAGCGAGAGGGCGCCTGGGAAGGTATTTGTATAGATGGGTTTGACTTTACCTCCATCGCGAAGTTGCTCGTCCCGCAGTACCTCAATGGCGTCCTCGTAGAGAGACTGGGTTTCCCACTCCTCGCCCGAAGCGTCACTGTCGGTCTCGAACTCGGCTTGAGACATCTCGCCCTTGGTGGCAGTGGCGGTGGGGTCTTCGTTCGCCGTGGCTGGCTTGTCGATTACATCCGCGGAAGTCATCTTAACGGCGACGGCGGCGACTGGGGTCTGTAACGACGACAAGCTTTCCCCGCTGGGCGCTGATTCCAGGTCCATCCTGTGACGGAAGACAAGGGGGGAGGGGGGGGGGCACTTTCTAGCGACCGCTAAAACAACCCTTTCTTTCCCCAACTCACATTGAGCTCAGTTTTGCCACCCCGAAGGTGCTTGGCTGGGACAAAATTGGCTTTGATTATCTCCGGGGGGGGAGGGGAGGGAAACGCGCTCGGGTACTACTTTATCCGGGTCCGTACGATAGTGGAATGGACAATGAACCAAGAGGATTTAGTGAATTCGCTTCAACATGAGGTGCTCATCCAAGGTATTATTAGATTCGTTGGTATTTCGAGCAAGTATAACATGACTTTTGAAGTGGTATCATGACAGGGAAAGGGGGGGTTTCGTAACATGGACATGCAGCGTTTGTTGTATTCAGGAGTCAGCCATTTCGTGGTCACTGTCTGAGTCCACCTCGATCTCCTCGTCCTCCCAACCTTCCTCACCCTCCTGGCCCTCAGCCTCTTCGTCCTCTATCTCATCGCCCAGTTCCTGGTTCATCTCCTGAACCAGTTCGAGCGCATGCTCCTTGAGCCTCTCATCCTCGTACTGCTGGATCTCATAGAGAGCCAGACCCTGCTTGAGCCATTCGCGACTGGCAACAAGCGATGCAAGGCGCTTGGCCTCTGGGGTATCGGCTTCCTCCTCGTCATCCGCAGGGGCTTGTTGCTTCCCGGCCAGGAGATATAAGCACCATCCGCCTAGATACCAAGCCTCGATACTCTGATCATCTTCCAGGATCAACCGCTCCAAGACCTCCAACGCCTCAAACTCCAGCGCGACCTCCATCAAGAGACGAGAAAGACTGATTCTGGTAGCAAAATCTGGAATGCTAGGGTCCTCCGGGGGCAGGTCCTTCCAGATCTCGAGACTCCTTCTCAGTGCTGCTTTGGCGTCGTCGGTCCGTAGCTGCGAGATTCGAATGGAAGCCAGGGTTTGGAGGACCTCGGGTCCATTGGGTTCAACGAGGAGAGCCTCCGTGATGAGCGTCTCGCAACGGTTCTCTGCATCTTCCTCCCAGCTACATTACGTCAGTACAAGAAATTCCTCCTCGCAGCCGCCGCGGGATGGGAAGGAGCCGGGAGGGGCGGGGAATCAACTTACGAAAGATCGGTCATGTAGATCTCCGCCACGGCGCATAGGGCATTGGCCATCTTGCGCTTCTTCTCCAGCAACTCGGCCGCCTCCTTAGGGCCAGGGTTCTGTTCTAGTTGCTGGATCGCATGTCGGAGCGAGGAGACACCCTTCTCGAACCACTGGACACTATCCTTTCCGCCTTCCTCGCTCAACTGGGCCAGCCACAAGAACTTCTCCGCGCCTCCGCCCTGAGACTCCGGTATCGTCCCGTTGGGATCGGCTTCGACTGCGCGCAGGAAATGAGCTCTGGCGGTGTCGATATCTCCGAGTTCGACGTAGATCTCTGCGACGGCGATCAAGGCCGACAGGTATGAGGGGGATCCCGCGGGCGAGCTGTCGAGCGCTTGCTGCGCTAATTGTAGAGCGGCATCGGCCTGGCCGGTCTGGATGAGTATCGTCGCCTGGTCCAGGAGCTGGGTGGGGTCTTCGTTCATCTTGCTCTGCGACTGCTTCACCGAACCACCAACGCCGAGGAGGGGCTTCTCGCGAGATTTGGAGGATTTCTTCTGTTTCTGAGGTCTGGACTTGCCCATGTTAATGTGATAGGTCTAAAATGAGTGTGTGATCGTCGATTGATAGGTCATAAGATGTAAGAAATAGGATTGCAGAAAAAAGAATACTCAGGTAAGAGGAAGAAAAGTAAGGCAATTGGAGCTTGTTGGATCTTTTTTTCCAAGGCGGAGCATAGAAATTCCCTTTTTCGGGCCCGATAAATTTGGGACGCCGGGCCTTGCCTTATCTGTTTGTGCTGTTTGCACGTCGACCGCAACATTCTACTCCATGCCGGATTGAAGAGGGACCGATCAGTCTATGCTCTAGCTCAGGATTATTGAATCAGGAAAAAGCGAAGCGGTCTTGGTGCTTCTTCTCATGCACTACATGTTCTATTGCTATTAGTGCTTGTCAACCATCAAATCCGAGAGCTACGATCTCTCAGCAACGAGTTTTCACTCACCCCACGAAACCGAATACCCCTCCACCACCACCCCCGCCGGCGGCGCATTGAAAGCAAAGATGGGTCGCGAAGATCAGATCGAAGAGCGCGAAGTGCTCGACTCCATTTTCCCCGAGGAGATCACAGGTATGCGAACTAGCCCAGTCGCTCCGGAGACTATTGTCCTTTTTTTTCTGGTTTGGGCGGTAATTCTGGAATCTCGACGCTGACGAAAGAACCTGCAATTACAGATATTTCTGACACTTCCTATCGGATATCGATCGTCCTGGACCCTCCCGACAATGACGTCGAAGAGCTCGAGCCGCCAGTCCTGAATCTGCACGTGTCATACCCGGAAGACTATCCGGACGTTGCCCCGGAACTCGACATCACCGCGGCCCCCAATGCACCGAAACACCCCCGACTCGATGTCTCGGAGGACAAGGACCAGCTGCTCGAGGCGCTGCAGCCGACCATCGAAGAGAACATGGGGATGGCGATGGTGTTCACGTTGGTGAGCGCGCTGAAGGAGAGCGCCGAGCTGCTTATGGCGGAGCGGGTCAATGCCATCCACGCGGAGCGCGAGATGGAGGCGGCCAAGCGCGAGGAAGAGGAGAACCGGAAGTTCCAGGGCACGGCGGTCAACCGGGAGACGTTCCTGGCGTGGCGGGACAAGTTTATGAAGGAGATGGAGGACGAGGAGAAGAGGCTGCGCGAGGAGAAGGAAGCCGAGGACAAGAAGGCACAGAAGAAGGCGCCCGGGAAGGAGGAAAAGAAGCTCACGGGCAAGCAACTGTGGGAGCGCGGTCTGGCTGGCAGAGCAGACTTTGATGAGGACGAGGAGGATGCTATGCCCGCTGCTGTAGAGAAGATGAAGATCGCCGCATAGGAGCGTGACGTGCTCTTTGCCACAATTTACAAGTATACATACAGGTCGCGCCTAGACGGGCCTTTGTCCCGAAGAGATGAAAGTGTCCAGTCTGGCAGATGTGTCATACATAGAGCGGGTATTGACCAAGAACACCGGGTGGATTTCAAACACATATGGCTATGGTTCGATGCTATGGATATGACCTGATAGAATGGGGTATATTCGCCTGAGAAATGCATAGAGGACTCGCCCACTTGAGCTATGCCTGGGCTTTTTCGTCGGGCCAAGGCTATTGCTCTAGTCCTGATATCCCCTTCGCTGGTCTACGCACGTACCCTAAAATCCCAATCAAGTAGGTCGCTTGGGTAGTTTCGGGCGCTCTAGCTGGCCGACTTACTTCAAGTCCTGCTCTTTTTCTCCCCCTTCTGTAGTCTCTTTTGGCGCAGCCGCCATCTTGGCGGCCCGTTCCTCGGCCTCTTTGGCGGCCAACGCACGCTCCGCGAGGACGACCTTCCACATGGCTGTCGCAAGCTCTTGATCCTTGCGTTCCATCTCAGAGACTCGTCGTTTGAGTTCCATAATGCATACTTCAACGGGATGACGCCACCTGGCCGTTGGCTCGCGTTCTTGTTGGCCGGTCAATCGATCCCACTCGTCCTCATCCTGGGCCCAGATCCTCTCTTCCAGTAACTTCTTGCGCACGAGAAATGTCCTGCCTCGTTTGCGAAGCTTGCCCCGGATAATGTGCCCGAGGATGGCGGGTTGGGGTTTCATGATCCGCAGGAAGGGGACGCCGCGCGCATTCACGAGTTTCGGAATGCGACGTATCCCGTTGACGGTCGGCCGTGGACGCGACAGGACCGGTATGGCATCGGGGTGTCGCGACATGGTCCTCCTCGCGGCCTCCCTGTTGGCCTCCTTCTTCAGCTCCATGGCGCTCATGGGTTTGGCCGGCTTCAGCCGCCTCAGCTCTCTTTGCATCGCGGACCGGCGCTCCTGTGCTTCGGTGGTCTGGAATAGGAGGGACTTGAGACGCTCGGTTTCGGTGCGTTTGTTTTGTGATACGGCATGGAGCAGGTCGAGTGCCTGTAGATTCGCCCGTTAATCAATCGGTCGTCAGCACCGGATGGGATATGGAGCAAGGAGGGCTATGTGTACATCATATCCCGCTTTCAAGGCATGTGCTACCCTGGACGGACTTTCGAGGGTCTTGTATCTGTGGAACCGTAGTTGTATGTGCTGCTTGGATGCATTGCGCTCCGGTAGATTTTCAGGTAATTTGGCGCATTGTCGGAGAAGCGCGCGATAGAGCGCTAGGGCTGTCGCGACAATCGGGCATTAGTCTCATCCTGAAGAAGCATTGCTTGGTCTGTCTGTTGAGGTACGCACTTGTGAAACGGTGGATTGAAGACTTATTGGGCACCACCAACCTATGCATGGTGAGGTAGATAAGGCGTTCAATGTCGAGGTCAAATATATTCTGGGAAGCATGTGACTGAGAAGATATCAATCGCGATCACGTGTCACCGTATGATATGAGGCAGATGTATCATATGTGTATGGGCAAGAAAACAAGATTTACAGATATTGAGGCAAATTTTCAATCCAGACCATGGTCCCTAATCTGCAACTAATCATCGTTGAAGTTGATGAACAATATGAGGTTAGATTAGGCTGCGTGATACCGTGGGATCATGATTACCCTCATAAAATCAACTATGGAGCCCAAACTCACCGCCTTGGTTGTGTAGTGTAATGGTTAGCACCCAGGATTCTGATTCCTGTAATCCCGGTTCGATCCCGGGCACGACCTGTCTTGAAACTTTTTGCTGGTTCGCCATACTGAAGCCACTCTATGTAGTAGCACCGGTCTACTCGCCAATCGACTCATTGGCATCGGTATATGTGCTCTCAATGGAAGCCCATGTGCCCTGCCGATTTGCTACCTCGCTCACCACGACTGTGCCCGACCCTACTCACTCAATATCTATGAATACTCCCCAAGCTAATGATGAATGTCATAGAAAGGATAGTCTAAGTGGCAAGGTTGACAGGAAAGTCCACACCGACAAAGTTTTCTAGAATCGATGAATTGCAACTAGGCTTCGATTGACACCACGACATGCCCGCCGTTATGCATAGACTGTACACGCTCTAAGAAGTAAAACGAAAGAAGACGCGAACGAAACCGCACGCACAAAACCCACCAGAATACTCCTCATTCGGTTCCCGAGTCATTTCACAGCATCACGTTGCTCAGAAGTTAGAGCCCTCCGGGGGCTGGGGAAGCTTCTTGTGCTGGGGCAGAGCCATATACCTGCGACACAGTCAGAACCTGCATGTATCAGAGGAGGAATGGGGAGTCAAGGCACGGCGTACCGCCGAAGTTCGAGCAGAATAGTCTCCATGGTGAATTCGCGCTTCCATTGAGCTAGGCAAGGCAGCTTGGTGGGATCAACCTATAGAGAAGTCAGTATACTCCTGGCCCTGTTTATGACGCAACGTAGCTCTATGCGTACCTTGCCAGTTTGGGGATCAACGCATGGCAGATTGATCCGGGAGACGAATTGCAGAGTAGGGGGATTGTCAGGGTAGTCGGGACCGCAGTGAATCTTGACACTGTATATTCTGTTCTCATGGACGCTCTGTGTTCATTCATTGTCGAGTCAGTACTGCTGGGGTATCGTGGCGGGAATAAGTATGCGGAGGGGACGGACATGAGGAGGGCCCAGGATAGTGCCATTCCAGTTGCTCATCATCATATCTTCGCCATCATCAAGACCGTACGAGCAAGCCTCTAAGGGATGGAAACGAAAGTGCGTTAGTGATCTGTGTGTCATGTGCCACCTTGTTTGTGAAGGTATGCTCACCTGCGCCCAAGCCCTTCTCGCCCTTCTCGAGCTCTTCGAGCAACCTGAAGTTTCTGGGAACCTTGGCCGACATTATGCGGTATGTGAGCTTGGAGAAAGGGTTCTGTGTATTATAACTGTGGAGAAATGAAGGTTGTTGTTGAGGAGAGGTAAACGAGATCAGTACCGAAGGCGGAGGAGGGGGCACCCACGACTTTATCCCACTTGCGGCAATGACAATGGGCACTGCAATGGATCAGTGGCTGGTGGCTATTGCGTATCTTGTCCCGCCGGGTTCCTGAAGAATAGGTCATGTGATGATAAAGAACCAGCCGATGCCACGTGATATCCTCGAACTTATCTCCGTCGTTGCCTTGGCGCTCCTGAGAGCTGCCACTCCGGATGATTGCGTTCGTTGCTTGATTGTTTGGAAATGACAATTATGTATTTGTATTGATGTGCATTCACCCTTAATAAGACGTATATTGCGTCAATTCATTTGCTCAGGCTCTCATCAACCTCTCTTCTCTTCCTCTACCGACCCAATCAGCGATCCAACCACATGAAGCCACATCTGCCTAGTGCTACCTTACTGTACTGTACTATCCGACTCGACTGGCGCCGGCCATGATATGATTCAGCACCCTGTTTGAAATGTCCTCCCAGTTCCTACAGGCGGAACTCTTGAATCTTATCCAAGAGTCTAAGAGAAGAAACTCGGAACTTCGCACTGTAGGCTTCCACTGTCTAGAAATGGATTTTCGAACATTGATGCTGACTAACGATAATACAGGCCGCCGAAGAGTCGCTCAATGACTTGAAGGCACTACCTTCAACCTCAGAGGCTCAGATATCTGCCGGTGAGTGTCTCATTAGCCCATGATTATGATCAAACTCAAACGGCATGAATGCTAAGATTGCGTGAGACCTTCTGCGCAAACCCAAGTTCGTAAATCCCTTCATTATCGCTTGCCATAGTCGCCATGCCAAGCTCGCAAGCATCGGTGTCATCTGCCTGCAAAGGCTGGTGGCATCCCGGTCGTTGCCACCAGAGCGCCTTAGAGATGTACTCTCTGGCCTGAAGGAGACGGCGAACATGAGTAAGTCATTCTATCAAACCCATCAATCGGTGCTTTACTTACGCTGTGAAAGGCTTGGATATTCAACTGAAGATATTGCAAACTTTACCGTCCTTGCTTCAACATTATGCGAGTGATCTGGGCGGAGATCTTCTCGTGAGCACGCTGGAGATTTGTGCAGCCCTGCAGACGAACAAGATGCCTGCTGTCTCAAGCACAGCCGCAGCAACGCTCCAACAGCTTGTGGTATCCACATTTGAGCTAGTCTCCATTGAAGACCGTAAGATTCTCGGAATTTTGATGAAATTCGTAAAAGCCGATTCTGACCATATGTAGAGAACTTCGACAAAACGACTCCCACGGTTACTGTCAAGGTGGACGGGAATTCCATCAACGTGGGACATTTTGCGTATGACGCTCTACGGGTAGGCTTTCGCTCCCTACCTGCAGCTCTCTGACCGAACAACTAACGGATGTATCAGGTTCTGGATGACCTATGCCGTCTCGTAGACGGTGAACCGCTTTATTTCCTTCGCATCAAATCTCTGTCCACGCCGTACACTCTAGAGCTCATCGAAAGCATTCTACTCAATAGTGGCAGGCTTTTCGTTACCCATGCCGAGTTGACTCAGGTCTTGAGGGCTAAGCTCATGCCAGTGCTGGTGCGAATCCTCTCTGAGAGACATACTTTCTCCCAGACTGTTCGTGCCATTCGCATCCTCTCAGTGCTACTCAAGCGCCACATGTCTCTTCTACCTGCCGAGTGCGAAATGGCTCTCGGGCTTGTGACGCATTTACTTGAACCAGACGGGACATCACCGTGGAAGCGAGTCCTCTGCATGGAACTTTTTCGAGGATTGTATGCTGAGCCAGGTCTGGTAAGGCTCATATATTCTTTGTACGACGGGGAGGAGAGAAGGAAGAACATCTTGAAAGACCACATGGCCGCTCTGGTTCGCCTTGCCTCTGAAAAGCCTTCTCTGATTGGAGTCAGCGCCCGGTCCACTGCACCTTTACGGACCGAGCACACACGGGCTGTCACCGAAGAGCAGATTACTCTCGAAGCAGGGGGTGTTGCTGGCGTCATCGGAGCATCCGTTCCTATCACCGACTCCGATGCGCCGGGAATCAGCAGCCAATGGAGCGTGGTTCGAACACCTTATATGGAATTGCTCGATAAGACTGAGCCGCCATCACCACCTGAGACATATATCTACAGTCTTGTACTGAACTGCATTAGCAACTTTGCTGAGGGGCTTGCAAAGTTTATTCTACCATTAACAGTTCCCGACCTAAAACAAAAGCGGCGAAGTCGTGTGACTGGTCCTGAACAAGGGACTGATACCCTGAGACAGCCTAACAGCAGGAAGTCGCCCGTACCCATCAACCCTCTTCATTTGGAGTCTCATCCCCAGCTCGCGGCCATCAAAAGCTGTGCTGGCATCATCGATAACTGCTGGCCAGCCATTCTTGCAGCATGCTCCACGTTCTTGTATGCAGCCCTTGATGATGACTTCTACCACAAGCTTGTTAGGTCTTTTCAGAAATTGGCGCATGTGGCTGGTCTACTGAGATTGTCGACACCCCGGGATGCCTTCTTAACGACACTTGGTAAAGCAGTTATGCCAGCGGATACCGGCAGTGTCAAGCCTGCGAATACGCCGGCGTCCGCTACAACGGCTCTGCAATCCAAAGAAATGACAGATGATAAAACGAAGGACTCGCATGTATCTCTCGGTGGCTCGACGGTATCTGCCGAAGTCAGCAGTATTCCTCCAGAGAGTACTTTCGTGTCTTTGAGCACCAGGAACCTCCTGTGCTTACGCGCTTTGCTTAATCTAGGAATCGCGCTTGGGCCAACTTTAGATCAGCCGGCCTGGTCCATTGTACTCGGCACCCTTCAAGATACTGATATTTTAATTGGCTTGACCACAAATCCGCAGGCCATGACAAGCTCCGCGGAAGCCTCGACTGCATCGATGGACGTGCCAAAAGCCAATCTCGGCGCCGAGATTATAGCCGTGCAAACAGCGTCCGCGAAGATGTTCGAGAGTAGCGGCGACTATCCCATTGAGTCATTCCGGGATCTCTTGACTGCACTCTTGGGTCTCTATGGGCCCGCTGAGGATGCCTCTCAGACCGCACCGCAGTCTCCTACCGGAGAGCTTCTTTCTCCTCGCACCAGTCTCATGCGCAAAAACACCCATCGCGTGTCGCTTTCGGTGGGGAAGTCTAGGACACAAGATGAATTAGTGAGGTTTGTGCTCGAGAAAGCCAACGAGATAGCACTGGCAAACGTTGATCGACTGTCTTCATTGATTGAGTCTGACCTGGGCGCTTGGAATCTTCTCACTACCAGGCTGATGTCAACTGCGGCAGACAGAGCGATCAGCCAGAAGTTTCGGCTCAGGGCGAATGAGGTACTGAACAGCATTGTGACACTGACCATGGCGCAAAGAGCTGGCGATGATCCTGCGAAGCAAAATGAACGACAGCTCAGGAATCTCCAAGCGCTCAAGATGCAGATTAGGTTGCTCTATGAAGCGAGCGGCTGCTCGATCGGCTTCCCCCCTGCTCCAGTTATTGAAATTCATGAACAGAGCCTGGAAACCCTCAAGAGCATCCTTGAACAATATGGCGAGACATTCGTGGAGGGATGGGCTCTTGCTTTCGACCTCATTACAAGTGTA